TTCTAGATCTCTCCTATCCCAATGGGTGGGCTCCCTTCTTGCGCTCTCTGTATCTCCGTGACTTTTCTTCCCTCCCCCCAACATTATTTTTTTACTTAAAGTCAGGCCCTGGTCCACTCCTCCAGGAACTTGCAGAACTTCCTCATTCTGCTCTGACTCGGTGACCCTGTCCTGTTTGTCCAGCTGGGCTTACACAACCATCACCCCGTGACACACCCAGGACACTGCTGCCACCTCTTCCTTTCCTACTTTGCACTTGCAGAAATTACCTGCACACAGCTCTGTGCTTTCTTTTGCCATGTGTGAAACAGAGGTGATGACAGTTTGCTGCCTATGCCTCAGGGTTCCGTGAGGGTGAAAGCAGCTCTTGCACGGTCCTGCGATCTGATGGAGACTGTCAGAACCTTGCCCGCCCCACCCATGCCCTCCTTCTGTTCTCATTTGCACCTTTCCACACGTCTCCGCCCCTTCTGTCCCTACACCCCACCTTGCTCCTGGACTCCCTTGGTACTTCTCTTTGTCTTCATTTGTTTCTTTTTCCTTGTCTGTTCCCCGTCCCTTTTCTCCCTCTTGCTTCTCTGATGCTGTGCTTTACACCCTTCCCTGGCTCTCGTCCAACTGCCTTGTAGAACTGGGGATCAGAAAAGGCAGCTGCCTCTGAGATCCTACGTACTTTCTGCACAATTTCACCAGATTAGTGAGCAGGACGGAGTGGGCCAAGCAGACTGTTGCAAGCACAGGGCTGAGCACGTGCAAAAGCTCAGAGCAGGAAGAGGAATCAGAGAATTAAATTACTGAAAAAGCAGTAGCAGGAGGGGCAGCATGAGGTTGCAGTCCTGGGAAGAAACCATGGACTTAATCCTTATGACCACAAGGAGTGACTGAGTTAAAGAAGGAAAGGAAGAGAAGCCAACTTGCATTTTCAGAGTCATCCAACTGAGTTGGAGAGAACGGATGTGGTGGGCACAAGACGGGAAGATACGAGACTGGAGGCTGCTGCTCATCCGAGAGAGACCAGACGAGTGTTTGTGTTGGGCGTGGAGGGGAGTGGGCAGGTGGGATGACTGAAGCTGACGCAGGGGAGGCGTCATTACTGACTCCTAGGTGTCTGCGCGAAGAGAGGAGCCATAGTGCTGCATACCGAGACAGGGAGACCTGGGCGAGGAGAAGGGTATGCAGTCAGGAAGGATGGTACGTGCAGTTTTGCTTTATTTTGTTATTTATTTATTTGTGGCTGGCCGGTACACGGATTCCAACCTTTGACCTTGGTGTTATCAGCACCGTGTTCTAACTGAGTGAGCTACCTGGACAGCCCCGTAGGTGCAATTTTGGAAATGTCTTGTTTTGCAGTTTCTGGAAAACATCCCAATGGATCGATCTGTACCAGTCAGCCACAAGAAGAAAAGAAAGAAAGAAAGAAAAAGCTATACTTCGTATTTCTATTTAAACACCAAAACAAACAAACAAAAAAGCCATCCAAATGGAGATGTCTCTCAGATATCTGCATGAACACATTCAGGCACTCAGATGAATGAGCTGCGAAGGCAAGTCTGGAAAGATCTGTTTTGGGATCATTAAGTTACAGATGTGAGTAGCCAGGAATGCCAGGGTGGCAGGGAGCACGGGCTACTGCCTCCGAGAATATTACAGGGGCCACTTTGGTAGCTGAGGACATGACACCATAATGTTAAAACTCACTGCTAGCGTGTTTCACCCTGTGCCAGAAGTTGTTTCTGTCCAGTGACTCGTCCCTCAATCTCTACAACGTCCCAAACTCTTCTCTGTCTCTTGCAAACAGGTTTCACTCTCTCCTGACTTTCCACACACTCTCCTTTATCTTTTTCTCTGTGATTAATTTTGTGCCTCTCCCCTGCCGGTCTGTCCTAGCATTTTCCTTCTCTATGTTTCTCCCACTATCATTTTCTCTTCCTTTTAAATTCTGTGCCTTGTTTGATTACGGAGCTCAGCTCCTTTCTTCCGTGGTGCTCATTTCTCTGCCTCTGTCTGTCCTCTCTAGTTAACTTTCTGTTTCTAATTTTTCAACCTAAAATTTAAATCGAAAAATTTACATTTCAGTCTCTGTATATTTTCTTCATCTCACAGATTCCTTCTCCCATATGATCAAAGGTCTCATCTTCTGCCATTGGTAAAGGGGCAGGGACCCTTCCCCTTTCAGGTCCACTTCAAAAGTCTTTCACACTATTTTCTATACTGCAATTATTCTCATCAGCTGTCCTTACCTGCTTGTTCAGATCCATGGGCATGTTCATTAGTCATTTCTTGGGTTCTTAATGCATCATTTGGGTCGTTGGATGAATCTTCTTCCCTTCCATCCGTCTGGTTCCCAGCACGGAGATGCTCTGGGATTCTAGCTGTAGGTGAGGATACCCCTAGATCACATTACGAATCATAAAAGATTTATTTTTCTCTTCCTCTCATAATGAACCTCTTTTGCTCTCTACTAATAACTATTACTAATCCTTCCATCCACCCGATTCTCATTCCCACTACCCCCAGTAGTAGACGAATCTCTAAATATACTTTTGATGTACTTTGTACTTTTTAGTGTACATTTCATACTTTTAACAATTTGCCTTTACGGGCCTGCCCAGTGGCGCACTGCTACAGTGCGCCGCTGGGGAGTGTCGCGACCCTCCTGCCGAGGGTTCGGATCCCACATACAGACCGGCCGCTCACTCGCTGAGTGAGGTGCGGCCGCAACACCGAGGGTTGCGATCCCATTGCCGGTCCCGGCCCAGTACGGGTGCGACACTGAGGGTTGCGATCCGTTGCCAGTCACAAAAAAAGACAAAAAGGAAATAAAAAAAAACAATTTGCCTTTAGTCAAAATCATTATGGAACAGGAAATAAAGGTGGCAATGACCAATCTGATTCCAAGTTTGAGAAATTGTACATTGCCCCAGAGGCACAGGCATCCAATCAGTAATTAGTTATTTAAGAGTAAAATAAAAATATTCTTTCAAAAAAAAAGAACAAATGTATTAACATAGATCCAAATATTATATAAATATACTAATATATTTTAAAATATGTAATATCTTAAGTATAAATTAAAATCATGGTTACAAAGAAACAGCGGTGAAGGGGAACTAGCACTTCCCCAGGTGGGGTGGGTGGGGAGGGATCCAGGAAACAAATGAAAAACTCTATCTGAAAGGCGCAAACAGGAAGTGACTGTCACCCCAGCTGTTCCAGTAACCCAGGGAGGTGGCAGGAAGAGGTGCAGGAAACCAGCTGAGGGCACCGCGCTCCAGAGCTGCATTGCGAGGTGACCCAGCAAACTCAGATGGAAGCAGAACCCGAGATATGAGAAAAAAACACCAAAGAGAGAGAAAGATGCCTCCCAGGAAGGACTGACGAGGGAGGCGCCTCCTGGGGGCAGCACCCACTGGGGGTAGGGGGAGGACAAAGACACAGAACCTGTGGGAACAACCCCAGGTTGCTTTTCCCATCCCTAGGACACGCTGATTTCATGTCCAGGTGAAATCTGGAGGACAAGGGGGAAAGCCGTGTGGGTCAGTGGTCTCGAGAACGTGAGGGAAGCCCGGTGTGCAGGCGTTTCAGTGAGGGCTGGGGGGCTTCTTGCACGGGATGACGGTGGGGACTGGGTGACAGGAGGGGGTTATGCACTGAAGATACCACCATTCCCTTGTACGCACAGCCTGGGAACATCTTGGTTACTAATATAATACTGACCCGAAATGTGTGCCCAAGTATTTGATTTCCTTTATTCCTTTCTCTGACCTGGATATGTCATAGCATAGAAATGAGACAGCTCTTATTTTATTTTAATCACAAACCAACACATCCCATTCTTCATTCTGACTTCTTTTACTTTTTCCCTGCTTAAAAACCCTCTTTTGTTTCTTTATTTCCCCCCAAATAAACTTCAAATTCCTTAGCACAGGATGTGGGGCCCTTGAGAATTTGCTCCTACTTCCCTCTCCAGAGGCAGCTCCCAAACCCTCCCTCCCACGCTCTGATGCAGGCACATGGTTCTAGAAGCCCACCCTCCCTCCACACGCTGGAGCTGTCACACGCTGCCCCTCCCTGTGCATGGGTATGTGCCTGGCTTCCCTTGTGACTTCACTCTTCATTGAGAGAAGCAAATTGACACAAGGTGCACTGAAAGGTAAATTTTCTAATATAATACAAAGAAAATCTCTTTTATTTTTGAACATGTCTACAAGTATAAGAGAGGGCTTACTCCCTTCCTATGGAAGGGCATAATTTATGCTTCTTTCCAAAAAATAGAGACTTAAGTCCTATGTTTCGTAGCACCCAAATCAGGCCCTGGCTGAGCAATCATTTGTGGGATTTCTTGTCACCCCCACTATGTATAAGCTCCATGGTGACATGGATCATGTGTGTTTTCTTGACCACTGTATTCCCTCTGGGCCTGGAATGTGGTAGTCACTCAGTGAAATATTTGTCAAATATCAATAGAATGAATGAATGAATGAGTTGGACTTGAATCCCCCAAAGTCATTGAGAGCTATAGTTACCATTTTGGAAGTTTCTGAGAATCTCGTTTAAATCAGGATAAGCCTTCAGGTTACTCTTGCTGAACAATGTAGGCAGAAGTGACTCGTCAAACGTCTTCTCCAGCTCACTGAGGACATCGTACATTACTCTTGGCATTGGGACCAGGTTTCTACAAGTTTCTTGAAAATGCTTAAAAATATTGAATGAAGAATTATGCAGCTGTGGATTTATGGGTGATAAAAGACTCTCAGATCATAGATAAACCCTTTGTTCTCTTGTGAAATGTTAGAATTTTACATATATTTGGATAACTTCTTTAATGTTCTCCACCATAAAAGCAGACTCATACTTTGTGAGCCTGACTCTGTGACATTGTTGTACACTTGAGGAGAGAGTAATTTTAAAGAATAAAACTGGGTTCAAAGTTAAACGTTGTGCTGGGCTTTAAGAGCCTGGGGATGTTTCAGAAGTGGCCCTAACAAGTCATAAGAGACTGTTCTGTTGATTGGACAATAACCACTGCCCTCCCCCCTTGATGTACTTGAATTAAATCAGGGTATTCCTGCATGTTGACCTCGCTGAACAATGCTTCCAGAAGTGTCCGGTTAAATGTCTTCTCCAGTTCATTGAGAACATTGTAGACCACTCTTTGTACAGGGACCAGGTTTCTACAAGAATCTTGAGAATCCTTAGAGAAATTTTGAATGGAGAAAATATAAATACAGACTTTCAAGTTACAGAAGAGCCCTGGTAAGTAATTTTATGGTTAATGCATTCCAACTTCCCTACTTGGGTATTTTCTCAGGTAGTTTTAGAAAATTTTTATATATTTGTATAGCTACTAAATGAAACAAGTAAATCCTTCCTCCTTAAAAATATTCATTGGTGAGTCTGATCTCCTCTTTCTCATTTACATTAGATAAAAAGGACCAATTTTGAAGAATAAACGTGGGTTCAAAGTTAAACGATGTGTAGCCCTCTAAGAGCCTGGCCAATATGTTTCAGGAAGAGAATTATCAGATAATGAACGAGTGTCTGTTCTGTCAACTGGACAACCCTGCCCTTCCCCCAGGACTGACTTGGCTCAAGGGAACCAGGTGAGCACACTCCTCTTGCTGTGAACTTGGCCACAGTCAAAGCACATTCACAGAGCAAAGAGAAGACTTGCTGCTCTGTATCTCTAACAGAGCCGTTAGTAAAATTTACCCATTTTCAAAGATCCCAGAAATGTTAAAAAAAAAAAAAGAAGAAAATTGAAAGATATTGGATTGGAGAAAGAATAGCAAGCATCTACTCTCAGTTTTTCCTAACAAGACACCAATTCCCTGTGCATTGGAATGTTCTCAGATCTAGGTATTTTAATTTGATGTTAATTGAAATAAAATGCTGTGCCAATTACTATTTCTGTAAATCAATTCATTAAAATTATTAACCAATTCATTAAAATTCTTTTTAATTTTTAGTTTTTGTTGTATTGTATGAATTCCTATAAGACATTGTGCATTTATGGAGTACTGTACACCTCTTTCTAATCCAACTTATATCTAGTACCATTCAACTCAACTCCAGAGGGTGCCATGGAACCATCTCCAGTGATGTCTGCCTCTCCTCTCCCTGTCTACCTTACAGAAGAACTTACGAAAATACTTGAAGAGGTCCCCCACTCATGGGAGACAGGTCAGTCAGCTAGTTGTACCCTGAAGTTTGGGTCTAGGATATCAGAGCATAACTTAATTTGGGGCTAGTTTACCAGGTTGTGACATAAGAAGCTTTACTTACTTCAAACATTTTATTTGTGATGAGTTCACGGTCACGGAGCCCCTCAAGAAAAGGAAATGTCTTTTTTATTGCACTCGAAATCTCCACCTTATTTCTTTTGAAGTGATTGAATATAGTCTCATAGATAAGCCTCTCCTCTCCGTTCTGGTCTTCTGCAGACATCCTAGGCAAAAAAGATACCATGTAAAAATGGTCATCAAGATTTTGAGGTGTGTGTGAAGGCTGTGAGATTTTGAATATGAGGAATAGTCTATGAAGAACCAATATATATAAAGTAGGTGGTCCTGAGTAGAGGACAGGATAAATGGAATTGAAGCAATTAACAAAGATGTCATAGAAGAAAGCATGGAGGTTACGAAAAATTAATGGATAGGACTGAAAAAGTCCAGTCTGTCCTGATCAAAGCCATTGTAAGGATATCTTCAGCTACATACAAACCTCTGGATTTTTTTAAAAAATCAAACAAAATGTAAATTCCTACAAAATTGAGATGGAGTAAGCAGGTCATCTACAGAGGAATAAAAAACAATGGAATAAAAAAAATCTAACCTTGATAATGCATCTTAATTAACAACTAAGAGAAAATAAATTTCAGAAAGGTAAAAACAAGATATCCCCTCTGTAATGTATAGCTATTAAGGGAGAAATACCATCTCACATCATAAAATTAATCCATAAATATGATGTGGCTTAATAATGATAATGATATGATGAGTTATAAATTGATAATTTCACCAGAATATCAGCTATATCTCCTGGGACATCGGGTTCTGCTGTGTGTTAATATCAATCTGTCTGTGTTATTGGTATATAGTGAATCTTTTTAGGCATCTGCATTTCAGATACTGCTGCTGTTTCCTGTGAAGGTAATTTTAAGCCTGAGTCTATAATTCTGGTTCTTAATTGTTTATTTTATTTCTCTGATAATGTTTTAATCAACATCTCTGTATTCCTAAATGTTTTGAAAACTCTCAAGCTTTCTTCATCAAACCAGAAGACAATTATGGGTACGTCCCAGTACCTAACAGGGAATCACATGCAGCAGGGAATAATAGTGCCACATTACTGTTTTGAATTCTTTTAAAAAAAGGTTTCTGGTTAAAGACGATAGTTCGAAGAAAAGCATGTCTTCTTTTTTATTGAAGACCCCACTAAGATGATAAGAAAGAAATTAGATTCACAATGACAGAGGACAATGAACAGATGAAAGATTTCAACCAAAATATATAGGACAAAACGTGGTCACAGGAGCATGAGTTGCTACTACAGGAGGAGGATGCTCATGGAGGTCAGGAAAGCAACCAGTGTGCCCTGCAGAACTCTGAAGAAGCCACGGAGATTGGGAGGAAGACAGGGCTAAAAACTGATATGTTATTTGAAAAATGAAGAACAGAACAGCACACCCCCATGTGTCAACCCACGTGCTGACCACATACAGTCAGGCAGGCCCTCAGGGTCAAAGATTGCTGTCATTTCCTTCACTATAGGCTAATGCTGCCTGTTGTATTTTGCATAAATGGAATAATACATAATGTATGCTATGTGTCTGCCTTCTTTTGCTTGTCATCCATACTGTTGCACTGAACAGTGGTTTGTTCCTTTTCATCATTAAGTGGTATTTCATTATGTGAATCTATCACAACCTGTTTATTGATTTTCCTGTTGATGAACATTTGGGCTGATTCCAGTCTGGGGCTGGTACAAATAAAACTGCAGTTCTCGTTCAATTCTTTTTGTGGCAAGATGTTTTCATTTCTCTTGGGTAAAGACCTCAGACTGGAATTGCTGGTTCATTCTGTGGGAGTATTTCTAACTGCTTTATAACCTGCCAAATGGATATTCAAAATCTATTAAAGATGGTCTTTCTAATTTTAGCCATTCTAGTGTGTGTAATGTGATATCTCATTTTAGTGTTAATTTGTATTTTTTCAATAATTAATGATGTCAAGCACATTTTCATGTGATTATTGGCAGTTTTTATATTTTCTTCTGTGAAGTGTCCAAGTCTTTGGCCCATTTGTATTCTCGAGTGGTCTTTTACTATTTGGTGGGTAGGAGTGTGTAATACATTATGGATAGAAGTTTACTGTCTGATTTATGTACTGTGAATACATTTTCTCCAGTTTGTGGCTTGCCTTTAATTTTCTTAATCATGTCTTTTGATGGGGAGAAAGTTTTAATTTTGATGAAGAGCAGTCTATCATTTTTCTTTTTTCTTTTTTCTTTTTTTAAAATTTTTATTTTGTCAATATACAATGTATATGATTATTATGGCCCNGGGACATCGGGTTCTGCTGTGTGTTAATATCAATCTGTCTGTGTTATTGGTATATAGTGAATCTTTTTAGGCATCTGCATTTCAGATACTGCTGCTGTTTCCTCTGAAAGTAATTCTAAGCCTGAGTCTATAATTCTCATTCTTAATTGATTACTTTATTTCTCTGATAATGTTTTAATCAACATCTCTGTATGTTTTGAAAACTCTCAATCTTTCTTCGTCAAACCAGAAGACAATTATGGGCACGTCCCAGTACCTAACATGCTGCAGGGAATAATAACGCCACATTATTGTTTTGAATTCCTGTAAAAAAAAAAAAGTTTCTGGTTAACGTCTATAGATTGAAGAGAAGCATTAGTCTTCTTCTTTTTTTTTTATTAAAGACCCCACTAAGATGATAAGAAAGAAATTAGATTCACAATGACAAAGAGAATGGCAGAGGACAATGAGCAGATGAAAGATTTCAACCAAAATCTATAAGACAAAAATGGTCACAGGAGCACGAGTTGCTACTACAGGAGGAGGATGCTCATGGAGGTCAGGAAAGCACCAGTGTGCCCTGCAGAACTCTGAAGAAGCCACGGAGATTGGGAGGAAGACAGGGCTAAAAACTGATGTGTTATTTGCAAATTGAAGAACAGAACAGCACACCCTCTGCCTGTCAACCCACGTGCTGACCACATACAGTCAGGCAGGCCCTCAGGGGCAAAGATTGCTGTCATTTCTTTCACCATATGTTAATGCTACCTGCTGCGGCAAAATATTTTCATTTCTCTTGGGTAAATACCTCGGAGTGGAATTGCTGCTTCATTCTGTAGGAGTATGTCCAACTGTTTTAGAACCTGCCAAATGGATATTCAAAGTCTATTAGAGATGGTCTATCTTATTTTAGCCATTCTAGTGTGCGTAATGTGATCTCATTTTAGTTTTAATTTGTATTTCTTCAATAACTAATGATGTCAAGCANTGAAAAAAATTGACCTCAAAAGGTAGTAATAAACCTAATTACCATTTTCGAAGCTTTTATATACTTGAATTAAATCAGGGTATTCCTGCATGTTGACCTCGCTGAACAATGCTTCCAGAAGTGTCCGGTTAAATGTCTTCTCCAGTTCATTGAGAACATTGTAGACCACTCTTTGTACAGGGACCAGGTTTCTACAAGAATCTTGAGAATCCTTAGAGAAATTTTGAATGGAGAAAATATAAATACAGACTTTCAAGTTACAGAAGAGCCCTGGTAAGTAATTTTATGGTTAATGCATTCCAACTTCCCTACTTGGGTATTTTCTCAGGTAGTTTTAGAAAATTTTTATATATTTGTATAGCTACTAAATGAAACAAGTAAATCCTTCCTCCTTAAAAATATTCATTGGTGAGTCTGATCTCCTCTTTCTCATTTACATTAGATAAAAAGGACCAATTTTGAAGAATAAACGTGGGTTCAAAGTTAAACGATGTGTAGCCCTCTAAGAGCCTGGCCAATATGTTTCAGGAAGAGAATTATCAGATAATGAACGAGTGTCTGTTCTGTCAACTGGACAACCCTGCCCTTCCCCCAGGACTGACTTGGCTCAAGGGAACCAGACGACCACACTCCTCTTGCTGTGAACTTGGCTACAGTCAAAGCACATTCACAGAGCAAAGAGAAGACTTGCTCTCTGTATCTCTAACAGGGCCTGTTGGTAAAATTTACCCAAATTCTAAGATTCCAGAAAAGTAAAAAAAAAAAATTAAAGAAAAGGAAAATTGAAAGATATTGGAAAAAGAACAGCAAACTTCTACTCCCAAATTTGTCCTAACAAGACACCAATGCCCTATGTGTTTGAATGTTCTCAGCATCTAGGTATTTTAATTTGATGTTAATTGAAATAAAATGCTGTGTTAATTACTATTTCAGTAAATCAATTCATTAAAATTATTAATCAATTCATTAAAATTACTTAAAATTTTCAGTTTATGTTATATTATTGTGTGAATTCCTATAAGACATTGTGCATTTATGGAGTACTGTATACCTGTTTCTAATCCAACTTATATCTAGTACCATTCAACTTGACTCCAGAGGGTGCCATGGAACCATCTCAGGTGATGTCTGCCTCTCCTCTCCCTGTCTATCTCACAGGAGCACTTACAGAAATACTTGAAAAGGTCCCCCACTCATAGAAGACAGGTCAGTCAGCTAGTTGTACCCTGAAATTTGGGTCTAGAATAGCAAAGCATAACTTGATTTGGGGCTAGTTTAACAGGTTGTGACATTATAAGCTTTACTTACTTGAAACAATTTATTTGTGATGAGTTCACGGTCACGGAGCCCCTCAAGAAAAGGAAATGTCTTTTTAATTGCATTCGAAATCTCCACCTTATTTCTTTTGAAGTGATTGAATATAGTCTCATAGATAAGCCTCTCCTCTCCGTTCTGGTCTTCTGCAGACATCCTAGGCAAAAAAGATACCATGTAAAAATGGTCATCAAGATTTTGAGG